CCGGCGCGGTGAGGGACGGGCGGGCTGGCCCAGGGAGGCGGTGGGGGCCGCTCTGTCATCACTGTCCTTCTGCCTCCGGGATTGCGGCTTCAGCGCGACGGGGCGAGCCGCGGAGCTGGTCCGGGACTAGTGGGGAAGTCGACAGGCGTAGGGGAGCGGCTGTGCTGCGGTCTGTCGGCCGGCCTGGTCGTTACAGGTTGAAACTGTTTGAAAAGAGGCCGCATTAAGAGACTTGTCCCGAGTGCTGAGCCGTTCCAGGGGTGAGATATGTGTGTGTGTCTGCTTTAAGAGTAGCGATGCGGAGAAACTACCGTGGAGGCACGGAGAGGCGTGGATGGAGCCGTCACAAGCGCAGCCAGCAGCCGCAGCGGCGCGGAGGAGCCCGCCCCAGCAACCGCGCCCAAAGGCAAGTACGGGCAGCCTGAGCTCAGCGTGCCCGAGCCGGTGGGGCTTACGCCTGGTTAAATGTGCAGAATGGTGACTTTCTAGAACTGAGAGGGGTGCCACCTGAAGATCTAGTAGACAGTACTTCTGGTATATCTGTCATCCCTGCTGGGAGTGGAATTGTGCTGATTTCTGGGAGTTTGTTGTGTGTTCACAAGTGTACGCTGATTTTAAACTGAGATGCAGTCCCATTAGTTAGTCCTTTCAGCTGTGTATTATCCATAAACCTTTCATCAATATGCAAAGATAGTTCAGGGAAGAAAAATACAGTTACTTCATTCTATCTGCCTATACATTATAAGCTCGAGTCTACTGTCATTGAAGGATCTCCCTGAATGTTTGAAAGCATGGTAAGTAATGTGGTAATACCACATCTTACAGATAAGGAAAATGAAAGAAGGATTCAGGAATAATCCCTTACCTTGAAAACTGATCCTTTCAGAAAACATGTTTTATATTTTAGAACTTACACTTGCTTGTATTTGAGCTGGTTTTATGGTTGCTTTTTTATTCCCTTGTTATTTCCTTAGTGCCTCTTTCAGGAGTAAAAGAGTCTAATGCTGTGCTTTAATATGCTAAGCTTTTTTTTTTTTTTGAAAACCTATTTTTAGGAAAAGAGAGACACATATGGGTTACCACGCTGGTTGTACTTGTGTAAGAAAACTTAGAAAATGAAATGGGCACTGCTTCATTGAGCAGAACTAAAAGTTTTCTTAGAGAGTTTTAAAGTTAAGTGCTTGGGTTTGATCTGGGGTGTTTTTCCCCTTGTATACCTGTTGTGTCCTTTAACCGTTTTCAGAGTTGTATAATCAAACCGCAGTAGTGCTGATATTAGAAACAGCAAATTACAAATTTCTTTGTAATTTTCTTTTCAATAAATTATGGCTCTTGCAAAACAGCTTCACGTACTGCTTTTAAGACGACATGTAATAAGAGACCTGTCTTAAAAACTTGAGAATTGTACAGATGATTCAGAAAACATCCTAGGGGAAATTTGCTCATCAGTACTGAATGTGCTCATGTATATTCGTTCAAAAGGAGGAAGGCTGCAGTTTCCCCTTGTATACCTGTTGTGTCCTTTAACTGTTTTCAGAGTTGTATAATCAAACCGCAGCAGTGCTGATATTAGAAACAGAATTTCTTTGTAATTTTCTTTTCAATAAATTATGGCTCTTGCAAAACAGCTTCACGTACTGCTTTTAAGATGACATGTAATAAGAGACCTGTCTTAAAAACTTGAGAATTGTACAGATGATTCAGAAAACATCCTAGGGGAAATTTGCTCATCAGTACTGAATGTGCTCGTGTATATTCGTTCAAAAGGAGGAAGGCTGCAGTTTCCCCTGTAATGTTCATTAGAAAAGCAGAGGCTTTTCTTGGAATTTTCATTAAACTTGTTTATTTTGCGTGTTTCTAAACCTTATCAGTGAAATTCTTGTTATGAAGAGAATGGCAAAACATTTTTGACCTGACATCAGTGTTTTACCTACACTATCTCTTGTTTTGTGCTGTGAAGACTTGCATGCTTTCAGGAGTGGGCTGTTTGTTCAGTGTACAATTGCCCAGTTAATCTTTTGCTAAAAAAAAAATTAGAGGCACTTGCAGAATCAACAGCAACCTCTAATGTATTAGCAAGTAATTTAAGGCTGGTGTGACTAATGCTCTTGAGAAATTTTTAAGCTGAATATTTTTCACTGTTTTATTTTCATAGCTTAATGTATGGTAATATGCAGAATATACTATCCATCAGAGCACTGCAGAATGATGTCAGTAACAATCTGCTTTCTAGTCTCTGTGGGAATGATGTGTGGGGCAATTATGAGCCTATCTTGAAGGCAATGCTACTTTTTTAGTCTGGAACAAGAAGAGCCACAGACCCCAGTGAATGCAGGTCCCAGCAGCAATGAAGAGCCTTCTTCATCCAGTTCAACGCAGAACTCCGCAGCACCAGGTAAGAGATGGTGTTCATAGGTCCAAAGTCAGTTCCTATGTGTTGATTGTATGACAAAAGTAGTAGTAGCTGTATTAATAATCTGGTGTGACAGGAACCATACAAACAGTATGTGGAGAAAAGTAACATCAGGTGATACAAAAAGATGTAGCAAGCAAGGATTTAGAGAACAGAGCCAAACCACTTTAAGGCCCACAAGTGCTTCTCATTTTTGAAAACTTGTGTTTAGCCAAGCTGATAGAAACTGAAAAAATGCAATTCTGTTTTTCCCTCCAGAAAGGCTACTTTAGGAAGAAAATAAACTACTAAGGAAGCAAATAAAATAAGAGAGCATATAAAAAATTACAGCTTGTGTTCACTTACTCAGTCTTTTGAAAGCTGCAACAATCCACCACTTTGTGTTGTGTCTCTTGTGTGATGTGTCTCTTTATGCCTTCAGTGTACTTTGTAACCTGTAATAAATAGACTCTGGCTAAATACTTGTTCATTTACAACAAATGATGAAGTAGCAGTGCTGTTGAGAAAGATGTCCTGTTTACATTCTGGTTTCCTAACTCATTAAACAACACTAGCAAAAACTAAGCCAGTGGGAACTTACATTTCTGTACAGCAGGAGAGTCCTGGAACAACACTGAGTTTAAAGAGATGGTTTTTGTATATCACTGTCTTGTGTTGTGAGCATGCTAGGACATGTACCTGCAAGGCATTTATTCCTGTGTAGTTACTGTGTAGTGTGCTAAATAGTTACACAGTTAATAGTTACTAAATGTAGAGTGCTTTTTAAGCTGTACTGATTCATTGACTAACTTTTTATTTTCACTGACCTGAAAAAGTCTTGGTCAGTTGTGGCTAAGCTCAAACCTAAAAGATGCAGACAGGGAGCTGAATGGTAAGCAGCTGCAAAAAAAAAGATACTTAAAATGAAATTTCTGATAGTAAATAAAGTTTTAAATAAAAACTCTTGAAATGAAAGGTTAACAATTGCCTCTGAATAAATTTCTTTGTCTTGACAGAATCTCTCAAAGTATTTTAAATCTGTCATAGTGTATTACTTGTCTGTCTCTGCTTTCACTAAAATTGAGTGTTTCACATCCCAATTTATCTTTGGAAGGAGCCAAATATACTCTTGATTTTATGTAAATCTTTCCAATGTGCTGGAGAAAAAGTGTCTTGTTCTGGGAAGTGAATCACTTTATTTGAGTTTATTTGATAAATCATTGTCTTTTTTTTTTTTTGCTGTCCTACCAAGTCTTTTAACTAAGAATGTCTCCTCCTGATTTATTTATGAAGAAAGACTACTTTTGTTCTGCAACAAAACCTTTCTTTTGTGCTTTTCTCATTGGTCTGAATTTCCTCTTGGTCAGTGGTGACGTCCCTTCTGTGTCTGTGTAAGAGCAGTGCATTTGAACACTCCAAATAACCTCAAATGTTTTCCTGTAAGTTGCTCATCTGTTCCCACTCTGTGTATCATGCCTGGGACGTGTTGGGAGCTATAGCTTTGGGTCTTGCAACTCTGACATTCACATGAAGACATGGAATATCAAAGAGCAATAAACAAACTTAGTTATCCATCTGATTTTGCCACTTTTTCTTCCCTGTGTCTCCCCCCACGCCCCCACAAAGAGCTGCCAGGATTTTATTATGACCCAGAAAAGAATCGCTATTTTCGCCTGCTGCCTGGACATAATAATCACAACCCACTCACCAAGGACAGCATTCAGCACAAGGCAATGGAGTGCAAAAGACTGAGACTCCTAGAAGAGGAAGAAAAACAGAATCAGGTATGTTTTGAAAAAGATTGCAATTAAGCTTTATTGTACTCTGGCCCAGGACAGATTATAAACGAAAGTCTTTAAGTTTGGACAATTCCATTTCTTCTGCTAAGAAAAAAGTCCTTGAAGCCTTTTGTTTGGCTCTGCCACACAGGAATGAAGTGAAGTCATTACAAACAAAAAAATCTATAAAGACACAGGCACTGTGCTCAGAATTGCAGTTGTCCAACCATTACACTTGAGTCAGGATATTGGATGCCAGGTTTCAAGTTCCTGTCTTGAATTGGCAAAGTGAGGTGTTGATTTAAAGTTTTTCACATTTTTAATAAATTTATTTATCATATTCCTGGACCTTGAAGAAACAAAACTAATAATAGTTGGTAGAAAGCTTTTTCTTGAAGAACTTTTTTGGACAGCTAAAATCAAGGCAGGTCTTATGTTTATGTCTGGAAAGCCTGTGTGCTTTTCTTCATAAAGTGTTACAGTGAAATTAATGCTGATGCTGCATATTTGTAATGTGGGTAAAATATCTAACAAGGATGCTTTTTCATTACCTGAAAAAACATGTCTTAGAACTTTACAAATAACAGCTCAGCTTATGTGCTATCATTTGGAAAAAATGAACAGTGTTCTCTTTCTTAAGCAATGGAGTTCTCCAACCAGCTTTTCAGTCTTCAGTGTAAAGAACATTTTGACTCTCAAACACTTGCTTTGTCTGAGCATTATCAAAAAGATTTCTTACTCCATAATTCTGCTAAATACTCTATGCCTTGGTCTCCTCAGAAGGTGTTTGCATTAAATTCTAAAAGGTTTGTGAATCGTGGAATGGAATCATAGAATGACTTGGGTTGGAAAGGACCTTAAAAATCATCTAGTTCCAACCCCAGTGCTGTGGGGGGAATGGAAAGAGAATGGAAAAGCAGTTTAGTACAGAAAGACTGCATATTTAATATCAGTCTCCTTGTGATAGAAGATTTTGCTATATAAGAAGAATTTGAGGTGTTGTAATGAAACCAGAAGGTGACTTTACACCTCCAGGTGGTACTGCTGATTATGTAGAGTGAAGACTATGGCTGTTGGAGTTTCATATTTTTTCTTCAGCTTCTGTATTTACCAAAGCACTCCATATCTCATAGGAATATATTCTTACCTACTTACTGTAGTAGATCAGGGAGATGGTGCTGGAATGTGTTTTATATGTTCTGAAAATTTTAATATGTGTAGGCTAGAGAAAAAAGTTACCTAAACATCCCAAACATCAAAGACCCACAGCCGTGTTTGAATCTTAAACAAGTAAATAACTGAGTACAGTTCCATGTTACTCTCTTCCAGAAAACAACAAGGGCTGGACTGAACTCATCTGTGCTGTTACAGAAAAGGCAGCTGGGTTCCCTCAGCTCCACAAGTTATTGCAGGTACAATGATTTGATTTGTCTTCTGTTAGCAACGCCAAGTTCTGCTGTTAGTGCAACTGTTTCTGTCAGGTTTTCTTGCATTTCTTACTGTTCCATTGGGAGGAGGAGGAACATATTACTTCAAGTCGGGAAAAAGGTTATATTCTGTAATAATCAGATTACTAAAATGATGAGAATTCAAATGAGGAAGTTGTTTCCCAATTTTACTTCAAAAGAAGTTTATTTTATGTATGTATATGGATATGCCATTTTGTCACATTGCATTTTATGAGTATAGCACAGGTTTTTTAGGATAAGTGCCTTTCAATGGACATGACCATTCCCTTGCCCCCATCAGAACAGAAGGCAAGTTAAGTTAGTAACTTGCTGTGTTGCTGTTCTGGCTACTAAAGATGAGCTGGGGTTCAAAATAGTGGGATGAAATTCCATGCATGTGGAAGATGTACATGTTCATGGGTTATGCAGGTTAAATTTCAGCATGCTAGTTATTCAGGCATTTCCTCTTCAGTGATTGAGAAGCATTCTACATCCTGTCCAGAATTCTTTTCATATGCATTAAATTTAAGCTTACCTGAATTCTCCTTTCTTCAACCCCCTCACCCTCCTACCTGCTTTTGCAGGCTAGTCCATGAACTAAAAGTGAACTGCATGCAGAGGAGGAAGATAGAAATTCACAGTCCGGATTCCTCAGTTGCTGGAACCAACAATTTTAAAATCATTGTGGTATGTTATGAGAAATGATAAGTCTTTAAGATAAAGAGAACCTGTTTTCAGTGAAAATTTAGGCTCTTGTAATAAAATCACTCAGGTTAAATGTAGCTTTTAAAGATGTGTTATTCCTTCTCTGTCAGTTCTTAAAATCTGTGCTCAGTAACTTTAAACAGGTAGGGAGAAGCTGTTCCTTTCCTACAAAGGAAAATTATAAAAAGGTTGGATATGAAAGCCATTTTTTGTTGTTTTTTGTTTTGTTTTTTTTTACTCTGATCAACTTGTTCTTTTGGAAGTAAGTAGGAGTCGAGTGGATCATTATTGTGGGGCTGGGAGGAGGAGTGGAGAGGATCAAGAGAAAGAAGAGAAAAATGAAAAAGGAGAATTTTGGGAGTGGCAAAGCCTGTGGTTCAGAGAATCTAAGAAAACATCAGTAATCACTTTACATTTCATGATCTTTCATAGACTATATAGGAAGCTCTCCAGGACCAGCTCCTGGCCTTGTAAACAGAGCACTGCATAGATAGCTGAAGCCAGAAGGGACTCAGAAACAGTGTAAGTGTATAGAATTGTTAACATTGGAAAGATCACTTATTGTTAGCCAAGGACTGAATCCTTTTCTTATCCCTGATTTTTTCTCTGCATGCATTTAAAAGGAATTGGCCACTGATTTTAGAGGTGAATGGAAAGCAGGTGGTGTTAAAGGGATCAGAATTAATGTGTTGTTTCATTTTAGACTTAATGCAACTCCCTCAAGCTGTTTTTCCTGTAAGTTTCCAGTGAGTGTGACCGGTAAGCTTTTATTTTACAGGCAGATGTTGCTTGTGAACGAATATTCACTGTGAACGATGTAGAGCATGGAGGATGTAAATATGGTATCATCAATCTCAGCGGTTTGGGGAAGGAGTCTCTCACTGTGGAGATGTATGACAACCTCTACTTCACAAACCGCAAAGTACTGCTTTCTGTTCCTCCTTCCTTTGGTGGTTGCGTTCTCAGAACACTGTTCTTGGGAGGCTCAGGTGGAAGTGCCATGAGGGTTGGGGAAAGGGCTAGGAGAAGAGAATGGAAGAATCTAGAAATGTGAAACTTGGGTAAACACAGAACCACAATAAACCTGTCCTGAAAGTGCTCAGTACTAGTGATAGTTGTCAGGATTGTTATACTACAATTAGAATTAAGGACTACGTAGAAGTACCAGCTTCCAAGGATAGTGATTACTTTAGACTTCGACTGGCAAAACTGAAGTTTGGCTATCAAACTACCATGCTTCTTTCTTAAAAATAATTTGGGAAAGTGTGTTTATCCTCCTTTAAATATGAGGCATATTTAAAACAGGTTATCATGATCTCTTCATGTTCAGGTTCTTTCAGGGATGGTCTCTTGGTGCCTTAGTCTGTGTTTGGCCAGACTTCAAAATGCTGTTCTGTTGTTACGAGTATGAAGTTGAACTGCTTGTGCCCCATTACTGAGTAATTTAGTGGGCTGAGGAGTTGTGCCCAGTGCCTAATTTTATGTCATTTCTGCATGGAAATAATCTTTCCTTAATTGAATAACAGATCACAAAAATAGTATGTTTTCTTCTCTCTGAAGGTGAACTCTGTGTGCTGGGCATCACTGACTCATCCAGATTCTCATGTTTTATATCCTTTTAAAAAAATCAGAATTGTCATTCAGGTTTCACAAGTCTGCATCGTGCTTCACAAAAAATCTAACTTCAAGGAATACCTCTCCTATAGCTCCCCCAGAAGATAAGTTTTCTGGAAAACAGCAGAAGTAAAGAAAATTGAAATATGTTGGAATTACTGAGGCAGATGTATGGTTTTGTTACAGGTATATGTAGAATTATTCCCATGTTAATGGTAAATGAAAGACCGTGTTTTGTGTGATGGAGAATTCCCACTTCATTAATAGTGTATATAAATGCCATATCCAGAATGATCTGATGTTTGGAAGTTGGCTGAGGCAAAAGAAAAGGAGCAGAGGGTTAAGGCAACAACCTTTTCCTGAAGTGAACCTCTTTGAAAGTGGGATGGTTCATTTGTGTTTAAAACCATCCCTGTGTTGGTAGGGGTGAGAGGAGAATGGGAGCAATTCTGTAGCATCACCCGCAACTTTCAAAGCATGTTCTGCAGGTCTGACTCGAAGAGGAAGGTTGATGATACAGTAGAGGCAGCAGGAAAGAACAGTGCAGAGCCCAGAAGAGGTGGGGGGAAAAAATTGAGTTTTGACATAGGAGATGGCAGACAACAGGTGTGTTACAAAGTGCCAAAAGAAATTACATAGAAAAGTATGGAACGGCCTGTGTGAAAAGCCATGCAATTCCAGACCAGCCCATCAGGGGCAGGAGCTCACCAGGCATGCACACAGCTGGGGATGTGTTCAGGATCACTTGGTTTGCTGGGTTCCTGCTTTCACCTAGCTGAGTTACAGATTTACCCCACTGAACTTGAAATGCAGCTTTCAAATTCTATTTGTACCTGGTACAGTCTTTATAAAATATTTAAATGTAATCTAAAGTGAGTTTTCCTTGCCTCCCATTTTTCCATTTTATCTTCATGAAAAACAGATCTATATTAATGCAGTGTCATCGACATGAAAAAGTAAGAATGATCTATATAGGCCATGCTGATTTTTTATTTTTCCTATCACTAGTAAGATACAAGAGTATTGTCTTATCTTTCTGGTAGTGAAAATACAAAGCAAGAATATGAGTTCTTTCTAGCTCACTCCTATGAAAGAAATGAAGTGTCACAGTATTATCTTTCTGGTAGTGAAAATACAAAAGCAAGAATATGAGTTCTTTCTAGCTCACTCCTATGAAAGAAATGAAGTGTCACAGCTTAGTTGTAAACTGTAAGGCACATCAGAGGTCTCGAGGAAAAGTGTTGTGAGCTGTAACTGTGTCAGGGCATCTTGCTTTTCCCATTTATAAATATTAGGTAGCCTGTTCTATTCTAGGGAGAAATCAGTTTTCCTTAACTCACTTCAGCAAGCTGTGTCTCATGGGAATTGCAGAAACACCAGGCTGTGCCAGTCTGCTTCCAGCATCGTTGTTCAGCAGCACTAACCCAGGTAGGGTGTTTCTGTTGGTTTTTTGTCTCCAAGTTCTGGTAGCAATTATAGTACAAAAAGAGCACAAATGAAAGGTTATTTTAGCATTTTTTTTCTGTAGTTGATGACACTGTTGTATTTCTGTAAGACTAAAACAGCTTAAGAAGTGAAATGATGATGAAAGAATTTGAGACTTAATTAACAAGCATATTCAGAGCCCTAGTTTATTTTTAGCTGCTGCAGTACTTGACTTTGGCAGGAGAATACCTCACTTGTAAAGTAAACACTTGAGATTTTTCATGAGTAGCTTGGCCTACAATTAATATGCAGAAGCTGCCCACAGCAAGTACTCACATTTCCTTGTAGAATGTCCAGTCACTGCAGAATCTGTTCTCATAGCAGCTGCTCAGGTATGCTCAGTGCATAAATCAGAGGTGGAAAGCTGGTAAGTATCTCGGCCCATAGCTCCTTGTACAAACTCCAGCTCTCCAGTTGTATGGAAACTTGACTGACTGGGAGAGTACTATGTCCTAAGTATGGCTATAGCTGATCTTTTTTGTTGAATGTTCTTAGGGGCAGGACTTAATTAATTGGACCTTCTTGATAGATATTAGAACCATGCTTCTTCCAGTCACAGAGTGCTCTAATCTGGCTTCCATTGAGACATGATCAGTTAAATTTATACAGAGGAAATCTGTGATAGATAAGAGTAATGGACTAATTTTAAAATTTTAATTTCTTACTATATATGTAGCCATTAAAAAAGTTTGCATAGAGTCAGCATGAACTTGAATGAAGAGTCACTGAGGGTGGATGGCTACTAGGCCAGCATACCCAGTTGCTCTGGGAAAGATTTCAAGCCCTTCACCATAATTAGTTGCTGTGGCTTCTACCAAAGTCCTCTTGTTTAGTATATCCTATTGACTGTTCAGGTATTTCCAGATTTGATTTCCTTCACTCTCTGAAAGAGGAGGTTTGTGGGAGCCTTGCTGAATAGATGCCAGGAGAAAAGTAGAACTTAGCCTGTCTAAAACTATGTTATCCATCCATTCTTGTCCATGTGACCTCTGCTACCTGACAGATGTATGTATGATGCACCATGAAGGAAGTGAAAACTGAGGATGTAGTCTGCTAATTGGCATAAATTCTGTGCAGGGGCTACATGAGTAAGGGTCAAATCTAGGGGTTTATTACTTAATTTTTTTTTAATAAGCAGGCATAGAACTTACAGGTTAGGCTTTGGCTAATCTATAGTTTATAAAGTAAATGTTTTTTATTTCTAGTCCACTCATCTTTAAAAAATGGCTTACTTAGCGCTATAAGGTGAGTGTTACTTTTCTCTTTCCTGCCATGGTGAGCCCTCTGACTACTGAATAAATTTCAGTCTCTCAATATCATCTATTTACATAGACTGTAGGTGTCCCATTTACATTCATGAACTTCCATTTCTGTTTCCTGTTCCTTGAGTAGCAAAAGGACACTAATTGGGTAGCATTTTCTCTGCTTTAGATTAAAATGTTAAAAGAAATGTGGCAATCTAAGAACCTTTCTGGGTTACCATCCTGTCCTAACATTTTATGAACATTTCATGTGTTGCTCCTGTCTTCTAGGAGATCGACCTGGAATGCTGTGCAGTTTCAAGATATCCACTGCCTGGTCCTGCGCTTGGTGCCTGAATCCCCAAGCAGACAACTGCTTTAGCACAGGTGACCCATCTGCAAGGCTAGCAATGCCCTCTGTCTCAGTGGGGAAGGCTTCTTCCATTATCTCCCATCTGCTACACAAATTACAGCTAAACTATCATCTGTCTTCCTTAGGCCTGACACGACGAGTGCTTGTGACCAATGTAGTGACAGGGCATCGTCAGACATTTGGAACCAGCAGTGATGTGCTGGCACAGCAGTTTGCCACTCAGGTAGGGAGAACCAGACACCATTTTTTCAGAGCACTTCCTCGTTGGTGGGCTCTTTGGGGCAGGATTCCTCATGCTGCACAAAAGGTTGTGATTACAGCTGCTGTTGGGTGGCTGTTCCACAGCAGAACTGATGGGGTCTGATGCTTGCACACAATTGAATAGCAACAAAAATATTATCTGATTTCAAATTGTGGCAACAGGGCAATTTTTGTTAAGATTACAGAGGTTAAAAGACAAGGAAGTACAAAGAGCACAGTAATAACATGTAAAATTGTTTTGGTTTTGGCAAATATCCTCATTCTAGTAACACTCAGTGTATTGCCTCCCCAAAAAGGAGAAAGTCCCTATAAAATATTATTGAACTTGTTCACAAAGAATTAGGATAGTAAAATAGGAATATGAGAATTCCAGTTTCTGTTTTGCTGTTATGTTAGACTGAGTTCCTGCTTACCTAGGCAAACTTTCACAGCTAAAGTAAATAGCTGAGGTTTGAATGGAACTAATGAACTTGTTGAAAAATGCTGCAGTGTGTAATTAAAATTCTATTTCTTAATGCATCTGTTAAAATAATTTGACAACTACACTGTAGAGCTCAAAAGCATGACACAGGCTGTGTCTGTGTACCTGGTAAGAGCCTTGCAGATGTTACACAGTATGCTCCTTTCTCTGGGATTCTCCCAGACCCCAGTGCTGTACAACGGCTGCCGTTCAGGTGAAATTTTCAGCATTGATGTGCGCCAACGTAACCGCAAGGGGCAGAGCTGGAAAGCAATTCGTCTCTTCCATGGCTCAGCAGTTACATCTATTCACCTTATGGAGGCTGAACATTATCTGATGGCAGCAGATATGGCTGGAAAGGTATGGTTTTGTTGTGTTTAGGATATTCTGTTCCTTTTAGTATCTGGGAATTTACACGTACTTATCCCACTCCCAATGGCAGATGTCTGCTTTTAGTATGTAGTATGGAATGGGCTGGTAGTTCCATTTATGGGTCTTCTTCTAGAGACCATTATTTATCACAGAATGGTTTGGGTTGGATGGAAACTTAAAGATCATCTGGTTCCAGCCCCCTGTCATAGGTAGGGACACCTTCCACTAGACCTTCATCCAACCTGGCCTTGAACACTTCCAGGGATAGGACATCCACAACTTCTCTGGGCCACTTGTTTTAGTCACTCACTACCTTCACATTAAAGAGCTTCCTAATATTGAATCTGAACTTACCCTTTTCAGTTTAAAGCCATTCCCCTTGTCCTGTCACTACATACCCTTATAAATTGACCCTCTCTGGCTCTCTTGTAGACTCCTTTAGGAGGAGGCTGCTTTTGCAGGCTGAATTCTCTGTCTGTCTCCACAGGAGAGGTCCTCTAGCCCTCCCAGTCATCTTCAGAGCCCTCTTCTGGACGTGCTCCAGCACATCCAACCTTTGGGTGCTCTCTGCTTTAATATATCCTCTCTCAAACAATTTCTTCAACTTGCAGATAAAACTGTGGGACCTGAGAACAGCAAAGTGTGTGAAACAGTACAAAGGTCATCACAATGAATATGCTCTTCTCCCTTTGCATGTAAATGAGGAGGAAGGACTTCTTATAGCAGGTAAGAGGGTGACTTTTCCCCTCTTCTATTTAGTATTGTATATGGTAGTGACTGACTTTTTTATGCCTGAGGGGTGTTTCTTAGGTACAGCTGTTAGAAACTATAAAGCTGTTAATTCTTTAAAATTCAGAAAAAATTTAGCCTTAAACATACTGTAATATACTATGAAAATTACATTATGGATTCATTTCTACTGTAATCAATCCTGTAAGGTGCTCAACACCTGCTAATCTGCTGCGTCCTGCAGAAGTTTTATTATCCTTTCCACAATATGTCTCAAGAGTAGAGCAGAAAACATTTGATTTTAAAATTCAGGGAAACAACATGTAAACAGGAGACTTTATCTAGAGACTCCATATCTTTAGTTCGTGCTTAAGGGGAGAATGTGGTGATGGACTGAAGCATTGGCATGTGGGCTTGACTCCTTGTAAACTGTTTATACCACTTGGATTCATTTTGAATACTCCCAGTTACACTCAGATTTTTGTATTATTATTATATTTTAGGTGGGGGTCAGGAAAAGTAGCAATAGATGAAACAAAACCCTTATAGTGTAGCCAAGCTTCATAAAGTCACTGTAAAGACAGTGACCTCCTTGACATATCCTTGGATATATCAGTAAGTGGTGGAATAATAAGAATTTTAATGTGACTGAATTTTTCTCCCTTTTTTGACTTAGGAGCTTGATAAAGGGAAAAGCACTCTAAATACTGATTTACTGTACCTTTAATTACCTAATAGAAAATGCATATTTTTCCCAGTCTCGTAGTATTCAGTGTAAAATTTTTGTTTTGTAAAGTATATGGAAAAAGACTTTGCCTTTTGTGGGTGTAAAAATATTCAGGGTGTTTTCTCCATAGACCTTCTGCTTCTGTGGTGATAATCTTGCAGAACTGTGTCAAGTCTTTTTTGTGTAATGTTGAATTTTGCTTTCCTCCCAGTTGGTCAGGATTGCTACACCCGAATCTGGAGTCTCCAAGATACTCATCTGCTTAGAACCATCCCTTCTCCCCACCCATCATCCAAAGATGCCATTCCCAGTGTGGTGTTTTCTTCAAGACTTGGGGGTAGCCGAGGAGTTCCTGGCTTACTCATGGCTGTCAAACAAGATCTCTACCACTTCTCCTATAACTGACATCTTCTCCTTAGACCTGGCCTACAAAGCTGCCAATATATATGTGACTTTAGAGTCTTTACACCAGTCACCAAGCTGTTGAGTCATTATGTGCTGCTGTTGCATCTGCTTTGCTCATCTAATTGTGAGCCTCCTTCAGGAGTTCAGCAAATCTTGCTGTATACATACATCTCAGACCTCTTGTAAATAAAAGCTGAACACTGATTAACTGTAGGCAAAAGTCAGTCTCTCTGAAATCTAGCTGTAAGCCTGCCAAATAGGTAACTTTAAGAGCCTCTGTTGTGCTAGCTGAATGTGCTGTCAAAAGGCTGCTCTAACTTGATTCTAGTTTGGTCACCTAACCCTTAGCTGTGGGCAGATCTGCCCCAAGAAGCAGGCTGGCCCAGCACAGTGAAGCAGCTGATGTTGAGAAGCTAAACACTAAGTGTTCTGGGTCTTTGTTTGGGGTAGCTTTGGTTGGTGTTCCTGCAATTGCCACTGCTATATGTTGGAAGAAGTTGATTGGAAACAACCATGTTCCATGGTTGGAAACAGCTCAGGGAGGAGCTGTTTTCCTCACCCCTGCTGTCAGTCCTTTTGCTGGGTCACACTACACTTTGTGCCTTTCAGATGATGGTAGCGTGTGACTGCCTTGCCACAATCCCTGTAGAAGGCAGCAGGCATGAAGTAAAGCCCCTCTTCTGGTCCACTAGCAAAGCTGAATGTCCTTGTTAATTTATCAGGGTTTCCTAACCACGTCCACACCCCTGACATGCAGTTTGGTCAGCAGTCTGGAAGGGCAGGCTTGCTCAGGCTGCTGTAGCAGGACACAAGCCCGGCTGTATAGAGCATGTCTTTGTGCAAAGTCAATATACAGAGGTACAGCTGGGCCCTCAGCTGCAAAGCTGTAGTACCAGCTCACAGGAACTGGATGATACCATATCTGTATTTGAGAACAACTACCATCCAATGGAGCCTCTTCACTTCCTGCCTGGTAACCAGTCTGGGTTGGACAACACCATCCTGCTCTCAGCATCTGTAGGAAGCACTGACCAGATGTGGAACCTATGCAAGGGTAAAGGACCATGAACTAGGATGGGCTTTACAGGAAAGATACACTGCACTCAGGTTTTCCAAAATTTTTACTAAAGGAGTGCCAGAACCATCTTTTCATCCTGGGATCTGCTTGGAGCATTCAGGTGTACAGTTCTGTCATGAGAGATGCTACTTCCCCTGGAAAGCTCAGCAGATGAGAGTACAAATGGGTTCTGATGACAGCCATGTGAAGAGAGCGCAGTGAGATGGCCTTGGCAGAGAGCAAGGCTGGGACTCGGCAGTCCAAGTGCCTTCTGCCAGCAGACATGGGCTGCACAAGCAAATGCCAGTCTTTGTAAGGCTTTTCTAAGTCGCAAGATTTGATTTCCCTTCCCGAAAGGAAATTTCATTTCCTTTCGGGAAGGGAAATGAAATCTTGCAATTTCAATGGCAATCAATTGGGCACGCTTTGGTCCATGTCCCTGCACTTGATGGCATCCCAAGCCTTTCGATGAATTTCACTTTAGCGAAGATTTATTTTTTTTTCCGGTATCCATACCATGTCTACCATATCTTCCCCTCAAAGTTCTACCTTCCTCCTTGATTTTTTTCCCTGCTTTTGCCACACGGAGATGAGTGGTGCTGCTCTCTACAGGTGTGGCCTCTCAGGCAGTTCCCAGTGCAGCACTCTAACCTTCATCTCTGTCCTCTCTGGAAAGGACTGCAGCAGTGCTGAGCATCCTAGGCCGGAAGAGTCCTCTTTCTGCCTTCAAAATAAGCTCCCACCAGCACCCTCTTCAGCATATTACAACGTTTTCCAGGTATCTCATTTCTTAACAGATATGATTACTGTTAAGCACCTAAAGCTTTTGGCCAAAGCAGCCTATTTACGGAGGGATTTTACCCTGCCACCTTGATCCTTATGGGCCATCAGCTCAGTGTGTTTAACCTCACACTGGTGCATGTGCAAGAAAGCTCTTGCTTTTTACTCCTCTTGAAGAGGAGTATTTGTAGTTTAAAAGTGGGTTAGTAAAACTGTTCAACCAGTCACAAAATGTTTTTCCCAGAAGTGAGAGTCAGCCACACTATAAGCACAGTGCTGTTAACAGGCATAAGGCACTCAGGGCTGTGGTGTGTTCTCAGGAGCTCTTCTTGCTCTCCCAACACATCAGTGTTGTGTGGTGAACTCCTAACCTTTCTTTGTATTTCATTTACCCATAAATCTATACAGAAGTCAATAGAGCAGGAAATCTCTTCTCTTGGGAGCAGTGTCAAAACTTTATAGCGTGAATATATTCTGTCAGAAAGCTGCTGCAAGGGTAATCAAGATGAATCCCAGCAAATACTCAAAATAGTGCCTTCCCTCTTTGAGTATACATTCAAACCCCCCAAATCTTTCTTCTATCCCATTACCAGCCAACTTGTATTTTCCCATGGGCAGACTGAACTGTTAATTCCTTACAACCATGGTTCCCCTCATACCTCTGGCTTTCGTGTTCCTCTGCAGAGCCTTCTTTCTCACACAAAACAGAGCTGCTCACAGCTTAAGTTCTGTGCTGCCCCTTCTTTCCACAGACACTGTTTATGAGACATGGGGGTGTCCTGCTCTCCTAAATGGTAAGCCTTGCAGGCTGTTCCCATTCCCTCTACTACCCTTTGAAAACCAAGGGACCTAGTCCCCAGTTGCTTGGCTTTTCAATTTGAGAAAATATTCCACAATTTGTCCTGGTTGGTTAATTTTTGACATGTAGTTAGTAACCTACAAAGATAATGAAATCTCTTAAAGCAAAATTAATTCCAAAATTTAAACATTTAAAAATTTAGACTCTTTCAGTGCTCTTAATGCCAGTAATTCCTGTTCTGTAAGAACAGGACCATGCAACAATTATGTTCAGTTACCGTGGGAAACACCAACTAAGAATTGTGGTTGAAAGGCATCTTACATAACTGAAGATAGATAATTCTCTATATTCCTTTGAGGGAAAACTCATACAAAAGAAAAACAAAATTAATACAAAATAATTTCCTTTCTTTTGTTTCCAGGAACCAAGTGCACACATGTCCCTTGCAAACTCATTCACCCAACTAGTGCTTTTGCAGCCAACACTTCTAATTAAGCCTGCAAAAGGACTAAAAAAGGAGAGGGCAAGCACGGCAAGAAGAGAGGCAATTTGGCTCCAGTAATAAACAGCAAGCAGTTTACAGGCAGCAGCTGAAGTATATTAAATCATCTCTTTCATCACACAGCAACAGTGGGGGCTTAAGGCAGTTAAAAAGGAACCACAACACTATTCCTGTCTGCTACAGTATCAAAACATTGTATTTCTTTGTCTCTGCTTCTCAGCAAGGATTGAACTAGTGGAAAACTTCAGAAAAGCCAGCCAGCTCCAAGGCAGGTTGCAGCATCCCTCATCCAGCAGACACCATTTCCTTGGTCCCACTGGTTCCCTGAAGCATGGCACAGCCTACCCAGCTCTCCTCACTGGCCAAACTGCCAGTGCCTCCCATCAACACCAGTCTCTCAGAAGCCACAGTCTCACCCTTGCTCTGTTCTGTGTCCCCTGCTGCTATCAGTCATCTCTCAACCCTGATTAATAAAGCTCTTTACACATAAACTCCTTTAGGTCACATAAGAGCTAAAGACATAACAGGTAGAAAAACTTCAATTTTAACTTGAAATTTCTAAAGCAGGGAGGAGATTTGCTTTTGGGTCTTCTGTGGTGGTGTTGGTCACATCTTTCTGTTGGTCCCAATTTACTGCAGTACATGTATGCATGGTCATTTCTCCTCGATTATACTGATGAATACTGAAACTAAGAGGTTAAAAAATTCGATTTACTAGTCACCAATTCACACTGTCATTTTTGCATTTTTAAGTTTAAGAGGGACCTATTCTAACAGGATTGGAAAAGAATTCATTTTTTTATGAGAAAGGGAGCATTCAAACCCAGCTATGTGCATAGTCTGAGGTTATCCCCTTACAGAAGCTGCTTTCAGAAAAGTTACAATCTAGCAGTGGAGAATTCAGCTTTAGTCCCCAAACCTTCAGTCACTAGTGGCTGCTTGCACACCCTATATGTACTACATATACTGTGAGCTGAATCCAGCAGTCAACATCAACCCAATGTACTTTCTACACAGGGGTTTTGGGGTGAGGGCCTGGGAGCTGAGAGATGTTTAACCCAACTGTTCTAAGCACTTTACAAATCAGTGTAATACTTCAAAAATGGAAGGCAAGGCACAAAATTGATAAACCTTTTCAGGTAATGTCTGAAAATATAATCAAGATCACCTGCTTTTTCTTGTTGAAACAACTTCTTTCCTATCTGTTGGTATCATGGTATCTGTGAAGAACTTTGATGCCTTCCTGACAAGTCATCATCTGCACATCACCATCAGACATATGCACCTGCTTCTCTCCAGTGCTGCTTGCCTTTTAAGCAAAACCAGAAATATTTAACAAGCTTTTCAGAACATTAGAAATCAGTATGTTTCAAAATCTCTGGCATTCTTGAAATTAGAACTATTATAATTTCTGTAATGCCACAATTAAAACACCTCCTACATAAGGATTTACACACACACACATATATATATATCTATATATATATATCTCACTGGTATGTTGATTTTGCTTGAGTTATATCCAACAGAAAGAAAGTTAAAAACCTGCATGCAATTTAATTTTGGCTTGAGATAACTAACTAGCTGCTATTTTACTTTAGCTTTGTCTTTGTCACATTATACTGTTGATTTTGAAAGCCCTCATAGCAAGTTTTTATTTATTTTGGCATTGACATGATTTCATTTTTGATGTACCTGCACTACAAACAAATGCATTTTATGACATATATTCTGTCAGTAAGAGTACATATATTACATGTCAGCATGGCTTTGCCATGAGAGTGCCCAGCTAAAGTAGGGGATGGGGATGAAACCTGGATGACAAAAAGCAGGCAGTTCTATCACTTGTCCAAATCACTCTCTGTTCTCAAATTACTGCCAGGCAGACATATTTGTTGGTGCCAAATTATATTACAGCCATCAGTGATAATTAAATGCAAGGACAATGCCACAATACATGGCATTACAGTAACTGACAATGGCAGTTGACAAATGAAACATGAAAATGATGAGAGGCTGCCAAAATTGAATTACATTAGTATTTAAACCTAACTAGGCTGGTTATGCTGAAAGCAAAAATAAGGACAACAAAGTCTGTAGAACCAGGTGGGGAAGCCAGAGTCCTGCAATGTTAAAGCCCAGGCTCCCAAAGCAACAGGGCATTTGTGAATGTCTCAGCACAGTCATAGCAGACACCTGGCATAAATGCAAGGCAGATCTAACTTAAGGATGGTGTTTATTTCCACAAACTCTCGTAGACATCAAAAGCTAGCAAGGGTTGTCTTGTCTTCCAGAACACAACCAAAGGTCCAATTCCCAAGGGACACAGACAGGAATGTACAAGATACCTTGGCCAACTTGAGCCTGTGCAACTTCACCTGCAAGGCACTGGGCAGAACAAATGAACAGGAAAACCAGTGCAGGGGTTGGAAGCGGGGGAGGGCAGTGAACGAAGGACAAAGCAGTTTTTCTTGTGCAGGTAACTCCAGCTTAGAGCCTTTCCTGCCCTGACAACAGCTACATGTTGCAGCCATGCTGCTCCACCATCTGTCCCCTGGCTGCAAGTCTCAGGTGCACATTTAAGCCAAGAATGGCCTACAGGGTTTGGATAGGAGTCTAAGTAAAAGTGTTGACATCTATATGAAGCTTACATCTATTTGCTTCACAAGATGACAGGGAAACCCACATCATCTATTTGAAGATGAATCTTCATGCTGAATTGCCATATATACCCATAATGGAAATAAATCCATCAGAATAGAGCAATCAACAAGTCTAGACTTGTTTTGTGATGCTTTGATAAGGAATTCAGTTTTTCACTGCCACATATCTCTGCAGATTGGCTAGTTCATGTGATTGTTATTTTACTCAATGTTTTCCATAGCATTTCCTAATTGTAAGAGGTGCAGATGGTGCTTGATCTGTCAATAATCAATCTGGCATAATTTTTCTAACAAGAGATTTACATCAGTCAGCTTCAGTCTAACTCAGAACAGGCTTTTATCGTGTCACATCTCAAACCAATTGAGACCAATTAATTATCCTACCAAGTAAGCGTGGCAATTTTAACTGCTAAAATATTAACATTACAGTGAACTTCAGTTGACCCAAGGGACACATTAGCACCTTGACCAACTACAACTTCATGGTAATTTCTCTTCAGTGTAACACACAAAGTGATGATCTTCTAGAAATTTCCTGAAAAACAGTCTCCTTCTATCTTTGCCCTTGTCAATACAGAAGACTTTTTCACACAGGAGTTGCATTACTCTTGGACCTGTCTCATGGTGCCACTATGAAACTCATAGTTTGTCCTCTTGCATAGCTCCAGCAATGTTGCTGTGAACTTTTGACAGGTTTTCCAAAAACTCACTCTTGGTTGGTGCTACCCATAACACAAAGCATCTCTCCTAATAGTTCAGGAATAGAACTCACGGGTTCTATTGACAGTCCAACCCCAAACACAACATGCTGTCATGATGTTTTAGGGATATTTTTTTCCCCCCAGGATTTCCATTTCCTTCACGTTTTCTGTAGAGCTTTCTGTCCACAGACATCTCTTAGGGCTCTTTTGTTTATTGAATCCCAATGTGTTAACACTGAATAGCATTGGGCTCTGCCAACATCTATCCCCTTTCAATAGCTAAGCCATTTAATAACCATATTCTATACTGTGTACTCACAGCACCAAACAGTACCAGAAAAACAAGCACTATTCTGTACAGGAAACAGCAGGGAACTTAAGCCTTAGATTTTTTTTTTCATTTTGGAAAACAAAGATCCCAAATACACCTCCCAGCATTCGCCAGAAAGAGTTACACCAAGCCTGCAGTTCAAGCACCACATAAGACTTTGGTTTGTAGAGAAACATCATAGAAGATTCAGGTCCAGAATAATCTATCAGAAGAATGGACTCTGATACTGACAGGTTGCTAAGTTACTAAGACCACATATAAATTAAAAATGTTTATACAACATTTTCCTTTTGATTGAGTAGTAGTTGTTGCTTTGACAAGGAAAAAAAAAAATCAGACAAGTTGTTGAAACAGATGCCAAAGATTTTATACAAGGAATGTCATGGCTGCTTTCTCTTTGTGCATTAACATGGTAGTAAAGCTACATGCATAAACAGCACACAGGGCACAGCCTACAAACCAAGAACACATTGCTCACCCATTAAAAAAATAAAGAATACTTTGAAGCACAGAATTATGCTAGATGTACAGAATGTCTTTTAAGAGAGGATTTCTACCTACTCATGCCCTTACTTGGACAACAGTCAGTTTATGGCAGACTTTTGCTTACAAAAACATAAGACAGTCCGCAGTAAACTTGGCCAGTACCGAAGGTGTCCTGGAACATCTTCTAAGTCTACTTCCTTGTGTAGGCTGGATGTAGTTGTGAAGGGACAAACACTTTGTGAGCATGATCTTTCAGAGACAAAGTGAGAACCGCTTGTTACAAGGAAAGTCAGTACACTTGTTCAGAAGATAAAGTTCTTTATAGCAGTTAATTTAATAATACAGTCTTAAAACAGGGTGGTGGGCATCTCATCACACAAGAGCACATTTAATAAGCTGGGGAAAAAATACCACAGTTGCAGGACACTGCATTAAGCTCCAGCCACTCCAAGCGGAGGCAACTCTCATGTGGTAGAAGAATTTTTGTCTATTTAAGCCAAGAAGGGAGAATTTTAGGCAGTTTAATCCACAATGGTCTCATACTTCTTATAAGTGGAACCACAAATCCACAGTACATGACAGTATAAGTTAGGTAAAGTGGTGCTTTTCATAATAAAATCAGTGAATTCATTGCAGTCCTTTCATAAAAGGATAAAGTCCAGTAAGTGCCAGTTGCTAGGAGCAAAGAAGAAAGGTTCCCATTTTCCAGGCTGATTTGTAAGTTCATATTATTAGAAGAAAGTAAGACAAATCTGTGCAGTTTCTATGCAACCATATCTGAGAACACAGAGGCTTTGGAGACTATAGGATCACTTAAAAAGTGGGGGAAAAGGAAAGTCACCACAACCCAAACAACTCAAACTTTTTATCTCAGAATTGCCTACAAAACTTGTTCTCTTCTTCTGCTCCAGACGAAGTTTTTAACTGCAATGATCTTACAGAGAAACTTGAAGAAAACCTGAGTACATGGAATCATTGTCAGGGAGAGAAAAGCCCTGCTACCTTTTGATCTGGTATTGAAGTTGAAATGGCAAGATCAGAATGCTTTGCCTCGTGCCATAGGATTTGCTTTACCTTTCAGAGCTCTACCAGTCTCTGCCAGGGAGTCTGTGTTAACTCGATACCTCTTGCACTGCAAGACCATTGCTCATATCAGTTCAAACAAAATTGTTAATAAATCTGGGTTTAATCTTCCATGGCCAGAAGGGCAGCACCTCTAGATGCAGGAGTTGGCTGAACTACCACGTGTAATTCATATATCAGCACTGGAGATTCCTGGCAGCAGAGTCCAAACCTTCCTCACAGGACATCATGATCAGCAAGACATTCCAAAAGAAGAATTAGAAGGCCATAACTCTGATCCAATACAGTAAGGAACACCACCATCCATCATTTGAACTAGGAATACTCAAAGCTTCATTTTCAACCATATTCTTAATATACTAAATCATACATAGTTGATATATATATATATAGTTGGTTTTATTTTTTAATTGGAATAAAATACACTGGATTTTGGGTTGCTCATTTACAAGGGAGCTCCCTCCCTTTCCCAGTTAATTTGAAATTAAAACCTAGAGGCTGAATGTAAGCTCATTCCCAGTGTTCCAAGATGGATATAACACGAGAGGAGGCCAGAAACTGGAAACATGCACTCTGGCTGCAACAGGTTAGAAGGTGAAAGGGAGACCAGATATTTTCATTTGTAACCCTGAGAACATAAGGAATTGCAAAGATCTGGAGAGCAGCCTGGGGTTAAAGGTCACCAGGCTTTTTATTGCAGTTAAAGCAAACTCGGACTGGGTGATCCCATCCGCGAGAGGGAACCGCTCTGCGGTCGTGTGAGCACTCGTCACAGAATCCCTGGCCACAGGCCCGACAGTGGTGCTTGGAGAGTTTGATACTGAATTCCTTCCGGCAGTTGTGGCAGTGCAGGATTTCATGATCTGGTACCCAGTATGCAGGTCGGGCAGCATCTTTTACCAGACCTAGGGAGGAAGTGAGGTGTGGGGATGAGAAAGAGGGAGAACAAAATAATCCATGAACATGAGCATCGCAAGAACGTTCTCCAGTGGAGGCACTCACACACTGCAAGTCATACCACTGCCATTAAGGGGGACGTGACCTACTGACACAATCCTTCAGTGCAATGAGCAGCCATTTAGGGCATTCTACTATTCTCCCACATTCTGCATCTCTTCAAAGAGTCAACTGTATCTCTTTTAATAGTGGCATCTTGCCTTTCTCAGACTCTTGCTGAAGTTAGGACACTTGCTTTTCCCTACCTTCAGTTTCAGCTGTAGCCAAAACAAACATCACGTCACCAAACCAAATATTCAGAAATGGATGTACTATCTGAACTAAGAATTTATTCTGCCCTTCATTGAGTCAGAGAGCAAAGACCCACAAAGGTGAAGGCCGGACATGCTATAGTCAAAGCAGCTGAACAATGATCTGCACAATGAGTAGGAAGTCAGGTGCAACAACAGAAGATTCAAATGTGAAATGTTGCTGACATACCTAAACTGCCACCCAACACAAGAAAGAGCAGCTGAGGTTCCCTGCACTAAGCTCACCATGGAAGATCAGAGTACTAATTACTTCCTCATCCTTACCAATCTGGACAGCTTCAAATTCTCAGCCCTCCCCTCAAAAGTACCAAGATATACCAGCAGTATCATGAACACACTTAAAAAGCACTCACATCTCTGAAAGAAAATCAAACCTGATAAAATGCTTCCTAATTGGCCAATCTTTAGGGAACTTCAAATGGCAGGTCACTGCAGTGAAACCATCAGAGGAGCATGAATTACTCACAGCTTGGTGCAGTTTTGCATAATAGGGTGAAAAGATAAAGTGTGCTCTGCAGAAACAACATGCTGAAAACCAAGAGGAAACATCAAGCAGAAAAGGTCCAGAGGGCTGTAGAACTCTCAGCCAACAGTGGTATCATAGCAGAGGTGCCAGCCTGTCACACAAACTTTTGAAGTTTAATAACAAGTTTTGCTCTTTGAAAACAAAAATGCCTTTAGACAAAAAAACCCCATCAGAACAGAAGAGAACTCACCTAAGGGAATGTCCATGGCTGTCACCACCGCTCCAAGGGTGTTTTGCACAGCTTCCCCCACCTTCCTGGCAATAAGTGTACCCCCTTCCTCATCTGAAGGCAATTCAGCCACATCTGCATGACACAAGAGTGAAGGGCTCAACACCTAAATCCACCACATTTTCGGCCAAGTTTCAGTTAATTTACATTAACAAAACCAGCAGCAAACCCAAAAGGCAAGTTGTAATCTCTCCTCAGCCTTTATGTTCCCCATCCACAATACTGGATTGCAGAGTGTTCATTCTAGCAAAAATGGACAAAACATATAGTCTGCTGTAACATAAGCACCCCTGTTCTAATGTTAGCACCAGATCATTAGCAGTTGCTAGGAAAACAAAGTAAAGATACAATTAGAAAATTATTTTGTCAGCAGTTCAGGTGTCTGGTAAGGTCATCTTTCTTCCGAAAGGCATTGAGCTCTTCAGCTTCCTTACCAAAAACTGTTTGGAAACCCAGTGTAAACAACCATGGAAAATGGTTGTGATCCAGAAATTAGGGACAAAGACTTCAGTGCTCAGGGATAGTTTTGCAACAATCAACTCAAGATTACCTAACTGGATGCCCCTGTTGTCATAGCAGTTGTCACACACACGCACTGGTGCTGGTCCCCAGCCTCGCTCAGGCACTGGACGGGTCTTGGAAGAACAGCCATCACAGAAGCCCTCTCCACAGGCCCGGCAGTGATGCTTTGTGTCGTTATCTTTGAAAGGTGTGTTGCACTTCTTACAGCTCTGATCAGAACAACACAGAAGGAAAAACTGTTAATTTGATCTTCCTGAAGTAAAAAAAATAGAGAGCAGAAGCCCAGGATGGCAAGTTTCAGACTGAAATTTTGAAAAATAAAGTTACACACAAGACATGGGTGCTATCAGCCCTATAACTTTACCCCAGGGAAGTGATTTAGAACAGTAGGTGTATATTGGTTAAGCCAAGATATTGCTATGATCCCTTCGTTCATAATCACAAATAAACACAGTCATATCATGCAGGGCTGAATGATGGATATTTGACCTTTGTGTGAAGTAAGAATTCACAAGGTAGTTGTCATTGAAAAAGAATCTATTTCCCACAAGACAAAGGGAATCTTTTCCTAGTTGAACTGTTTGGGTCAGCTTTTTGCACCTGGTATGAAACCAGAGTTTAATCTATAAAAATAGTATTACCAACTGCAGTGGCCAGATTTAAGATGTTGATTATTTGCTTGGAAAAACAAAGGCATGCAAGCCAGGATTTTCTGTAATATTGCTGGGATAGTAGCTCACAAAGAGCAGGGAGAAACTGTCTCTTCATCAGGGCTGGGCCAAGTCTCTGTTCATAATTTCTTTGGCTAAGAATGGGAATAGGAGAGAGCACTTCAGTTTCTCAAAGCTGAAGCAGTAGGGATTGCTGCAGTAAAACAAAGAAGTGTTTAGAATCTGCAAAATACTTTATTACTTAAAGAGTAAGGAAAAGGGGTTTTAGCTAGGCAAAGTCTTTCTCTCCAGCAGGTGCTATTTACCAGAATCTGAGAGTTGGGTCTCCAGTAAGCTGGGGCAATCTGGTCTGTCAACCAGGAGGTCACAGCTTTTGTAGGTCCCAGGCTAAGTTCAGATACTGACTGAGCCATGAAATTCATGCCATCCAATAAACGCTGGGCTGCGTTGTTGTTGTCTTTCAGAAATCCATCAGTCTGGAATGAAACAGATACTGATTTGAGAATAAAAACAGGAAAACCTTTTTTTTTTAGATTCAGATGGCTCTGCAACCCATTACTCCTGATAAACTGGAGGGCAAGCAGGAGTAAAAGATTCACCAGCCCTGCTTTGAAAGACAGAAGGAGGTTGGCAACTTAGCCATTTCAAGATAGCCAAAAGATGTCTGAAAGCCCTTGCAAAGTCTCTTTTGAATAGCAGGGACCAGCTTAATGAAAGGCAATCTATTTTCTCCATCAACATCCAGCAGAACCAAATTAGCATGTGCATGGCTGCACACATACACAAAGACTATCCAGCAACCAGACTTACCCCTGGCCAGACATGCTCAATTTCTGTCCTCACTACAGTGTTCACAGGGTCTTGGTTGCCAAACCAGTACTGCCGGCTGCGATACACCACGCCGCAGTTGGGGCACTCGATCACGTACCTGCACAGGAGGGGGACAGGTCACCTCTCTGGCAAGTCCCACACACCAGGCAGCACAGAGACCACAGAGAGCAGAGAGATCCCAGCTGCAGTACTCACCCTGACCAGGCATACTTGGCGAGGCCCAGCCAAGGGGAATCCGTGGAAGCAGAGGTTTTTGGCACCACGCTGACCTCCATCCCTCGTTCATAACAGGCCTACAACATAAAGGCTCAATTTAAACTACATTATTGGGAATCCAGATTTACATCTGGCTGCTGTTTGGCCACGTAAAGCATATAATTAGCATACACAGGTCCACAGCAAAGGAGCACTCATCAAAACTCACTTAAAAACAAAGCACAACCAAACCCACTATCAATAACAAGCAGGGAAGTATTTCTACATCAATAAAGACCATGATTGTAGACAAAAATTTTCCTGTCTCCTGCACAGATCCTTAAGAAAAACTGGCTAATACCAAGCACTGGGCATAAGCAAATAAGAGTAAATATGTCAAAGATATAAAAGGTCAACATCACCCAGGTTAAGAGCAGCCAGCTTCAAAATTTAGCTAGAAAATGACACATAGCACACAGAGGTGATGAACTCTCCAAGCAAACATACAAGTCAAATAAGGATTTTCTTGTCAAGGCTATGAGCACCTCTGACATTAAAAACAAAAAAAAGAAAGAAAACAGGCACATGCCTGTGATAGTCCTCATTTACTTGGTCATCCTTTCCTTTTTCATTCTTCAGACCTTGTCCTTGTATCTCACCTTGCAAGTGTAGACTCTGTTATCATACTGGTGAGAATATCTGCATCGACTTTTGGATTCATGAGGGACTCCTTCCTTTGCATGGTTCATGCTCTTCTTACAGCCACACCTGAGTATGCAAGAGCAATACATGAGTTGTTGCTCTTAGACACAGGATAGATGTCACCAAGATTTCATTTTTACTTGCATTTTTATAGATGATGTGCCCTCAAACCATCTTCACAACTGCACATACAGCAATGACATAATTTATTATTGAAAGGCAGGGTCTTCAGAAAGAGGTGTAGCAACTGTTTCCCATACAATCAGTGTTGTGTGAATTGTTGTGTGGCAGCACGACACAACAATTCTCTGCAGAAAATGCCCAGCAGCAGAAAAGAAGCATAACCAGCCACAACATTGTGCTGCTATACAGCTCCCAGACTCAAATCACTGACTGCCATCTACTGCCCTTCCAGCCTCAATCTTGGGGCTCTTTCCAGAGAGCTACAAGCCAAGATCTAATCAAATATGGAGCTCTGCTTAGACCTAATCACTGAATACAGTCCCACTCCATGATGTATGCATTAGGATTGTTCATACTGTTCAAGCAACAAAAATAAAAGGGAAAAAACATCGTAAGAAATTTCAGGGGATTTATTTAGACACTCCTTTCTTCCTGCCCTGATTGCATTTGAGAAAACATATGGGCAGCACAGGTTTGTAGTCATGCACAAAAACAGAGTGGGCAAAAACCAGGCATCCATCTGAGATGTGGCAATAGTGGCTGTCCAGTTCACCTAAGAGCTGAATTTCAAGCTAATTTTGCCCAGAAGTACTAGTTGAGAATAGATGATGTCAGGTGTCAAGATGTCACAGAAACTTTACATTCTGTGGCTGCAGGTGGGCACAGCACTGTCCTCTAAGAGGATGGAGATGCATTTCTCATCTACTTACCCACAGCTGAGGCACACAGAGGAGCATGTGAAATATTCATCTGGAAAGAAAGAGCTGTGAGCCATCTGGTCATCAGGGATCTCCCCACTGAACCGGTCACTTAGAGCCTGTCAAACAAAAAAGAATGAACTGGAAAGAGATTAAGGGCAATGAAGACCTTTTGCAAGAAAAAGCATGGATTCCTCTACTGGAGGGGGGGTGGGTGGGGGCAGAGCAAGTACACAGCTAATAAATGTGTCTTAGTAGCCTGGAAAACAAAATAAGGATTGGAAATGAAGCAAGAATGCAATCTTGCACTAGTATGGAAATTACTTGAATACTTGATAGTCTTTTGAGTCATACTTTTCAAGTATGACTTGAAAATATACTCTTTTTCTCTGCTCTCCTCTCCTCCTGTCCCTAGTTTGAATTTTGTAGTAGAAATGGGTTGTAGAAAATTGCATGCACCTCTGTGCATCCATTCCATACTCAAAATAGCAGAGCTCTTGCTAAATGGGCTTTGCATTCTGGAAAGCTCTGAAAAGAAACTCATAGGATCATTTCTCATAGTTCATGGGAACACAATTTTTGCTTCTTGGCTCAGAAAGCGCTGCCCTGAGCTTTCCTTCAGCCCCTTGAACAACTGCTCTTCTCTGGTGAAATGGCAAAACAGAGACAAAGGGATTTGTACCCTTTCCTAGGAACATCCATTCTCAGATTAAATCAGTCCTTAGTCTTGGCACACTTAACTTGTTTGGTTCTTTCAGGTGTTATGTTTAAGGGGAAAAAAAAAAGCACTGTAACAAAGCAAATGGTTACAGTTTTTCTTGATGGAGATCTCTGAAGGCATGAGATCTAGCTGAAACCTTTCCTGCATCTGAGGTTTATATAGTGGCTGCCTGCCTTTCTCTTCCTCCCCCTCCTCTCACAGGGCTGGGGTAGGTGGAGTGGGTGTATCTTTGCTGTCTAATGAGGGTTGACTGCATATACACACAGACTTGTGTGAACCTCTCTCACCACAGCCTCCCTCAGATAAGTACTCTATTTAAACATTTTATTTCACATAATTTCAAGGAAATTTGCTTTACATTCTCTTTTAAGCTTGACTGATACTGATACTTTAGAATGAACTCAAAAGTTAGAGGAAGTGGACAGAAACCTCTAGAAAGTCTTGTGTTCTCAGCAAGTGAAGCAAAAGAAGTTAATTTGTAGTCAGTAGTGATTTGAACACAGCAAACACTTCACTGGTCATGAATTTAAGTACACCAGCAGCTATATCTGAAACCAGGCTACTTGATAATTGCAATAACATCCTAGAAGTTAAACTAAAATTAATGATTCCAACTGTTTTTCCCCTTGCTGCCTATCTGCTCCCAAACGCAAAGAACCTGCCATCCTGACACTTCCCTCTGTGCTTCAGCTACCACTAATGCAGAGCAGCCAGAATTATCTGTTCCAACAGCTGTGACTAACACCAGAAAAGACTGCTAACACTACCTCCTTCTGCAGATATGCCCTGGCTCTGCCTGCCTCTCCCCAGTGACAACTATGCTCTTCAGGCCAAAGAAAATATGATGTTAATCAGGCAGTGGTATGTGGAAAAGGAAAGACTGCAAATTAAAAAACCCAAAAATCCCTCTGACATCCTAGCAAAGTGAACTGTCTAAGAAAATCACTTGTTCTAAAGTCATACATAATTTAGCTTGATCCCATCCTGTTCCCTAGCTACCAGCACAACTCCTTCCTCCTTTTTGCCTCCTAGCCCTTGGGTTATACTACTCAGTGCTAGGTTTTGCCAGCTATTAACTCTCTCCAAGTCTCTTGCATCTTCTCCTCTTGTGCTGAGGCCAACTTTAGGAATTTTATGAAGAAACTTTTGAAGGTCTTTCTTTGTCAATCACTGTCATTAAGTGCTTGTCACTCACAGCATCACTTACTTTTTTCTTCCCAGCTCCCATTTACAATCTTGCCCAGTTTGGCTCTTTAATTTATCTTCCATGGTCTTTACTGAAGTGTTTGTTTTGAAGTAAAAAAAGAAGCCTACTCAGCCTCCCTGGCTGTTAGACAAAATATTATTCTCATGGAAGACTTGCACGCAAGTCTGCATCACTGTTTCAGGTGCTCTGCCTTTCTGAGCTGCAGCTGAGTTAACAGCAACAGTGGTACAAATAAACACTGTAACAAACTCTTCTTCACTTACTTTTAGTGCTTTGTAGATAACCCCAGGCTGTCTAGGTGACCGAGTAGTATTGTTCTCCAGCTGCTGCTCCACAGCTCGCCTAAGCCCAGAGAAATCTGTTGGAGGATTGTACGTCCTTGTTCCCTTGTAGTGAATTGAGCTGAAAGCCTCAGGAAAACAGCTCAGCTTCCGAAACCGATCCTGAATGAGCTTCTCAGGAACCTCAGAAGGATGATCTACGTATAAGAGTATCAGCAAGTTCATATACAACTGATTGTTTAAAACAATGCTTTAATTGCATAGGACTTTCATATGCAATATAGACCTATTTTCTTAATTAAATCTTTTAATACATATAGAATGCAGTTATCATTATATTTTAAAACAAAGAAAAGAAACTTTCCAAAAGCAATCTCTGTTTTGTGATACACAGCTTTAAATTCTAAGACCAAGTTTCTCAGGTAAAACCAGACACATCTAGATTCTGAAACACAGATATCCAGATTAAGGAGCAAGTTAGGACATAATACAAGGAAACACAATGTCAGCACATTTGTTAGTTCTTCTCACCAGACCATAACTTGGTATAGCTATTCCTAGCACCTGATAAGTGGAGGACATGAACCTTACATGGAGCCGCCTGTTTTCCATGCTAATCCTGTAGCAAGGAAGACCAAGCCTTTATCTGCAATTTGTACATGGCAAAGCACTTCAGAACGGGCCACATCAGGTCAGACTCCACAGAGCCAACCACATTCTCCTGCCTTCTTCCAAGTACCTGCTGTACATTTCAGAACAAGGCAGGCCCCATCTTCCCTGTCCTAAAACTACATAAACACACTTAAATTATCCATTGAGACAGATGGTTACAGCTTTCTGCATATCTATATATGCTAAGTAGTGTCTTTCCTATTCCTACTGTGATCAGAAGTGGCCATAAAAATGTATTTTTTGTGACCCTGACTTTGCATACAGGTGCAAAGTGTCCTCATGGATCGCTAAAGGCTGAACTGATGAAACAGTAAATGTAACAACTTCATGAAAGGCTGAATTGCTAATCAGCAAATTGATATATAAAGAAAGGATCTGCCTTATAGGCAAGTTAAAAGTTATTAAGAAGTTACTTCAATAATAACCAGAAAGAACATGAAGTTCTTCTACAAGTTGAAAACCTCAGTTTAGAAAAGCCAAAATGAGAATGTGGGTCAGCCAGGACTGCTGAGGTATTTATTACACAAGAGATGGCTCCTAGATGTTCACAAACAGCGGGACTGAGCCTCAGCCGCTGTTGCTCATGGGAAAGACCCATGTCCAAGAAGTTCATGGAGAACTGTCTCCCATGGGAGGGATCCCACACTGGAGCAGGGGAAGGACTCCTCTCCCTGAGCAGCAGCAGGAGCAATGTGTGATGAACTGGCCATAACCCCATTCCCTGTCTTCCTGCATGGCAGGCAGGGGAGCAAATAGAGCTGGGAAGGGGGAAGGGATGAGGAAAAGCTGGTTCTAAGATTTATTTTACTTCTCATTACCCTGCTCTGATTTTGTCAGTAATAAATTCAATTAATATCCCCAAGTCAAATCCATTTTCCCAGTGATGGTATTTGATGAGTGATCTCTCCCATACCTTATCTCAAGTGATGAACTTTTCATTATATTTTCTCTCTCCTGTCCACTTGTGGAGGGGAGTGATAGAGCAGCTTTGGTGGGCAGAGCAGCCCGGCATCCAGCCAGGGTCAACTCACCACATCAGTTTTCACCTTCATCCACCATATCACCCACACTCATGAATTTGTATGATGACCCCTCCTGTGGCTGGCAGAACTCATAACTATTCAGTGCTGATGTTCAGCTGGCTAAGAGGATTATTCTAGCTGATGTGGAAGAGGGAATGCTCTTCTAGTTCCACAGCCTGGTTCCCAGACTGAAACCAGTGAGAGCAAAACCCAAATCACATTTTTACATGGTACTAAAGAGTGCTGAATATTCAATGCAACCTGATAGTTTGCAGACAGTATTTAGCACGTTGTAATTGGAATTGCCTACTCACCAGAGCCCAGTAGCTTGGTGTACACAGTCTCATGAAAGATGATGACACCTGGACCCAAAGTTGACAGAGGAACATCTAGGCCACAGCGGGCTGTGGTAGCTTTTAGCTCCTTGGTGAAGTGTTTTAAATAAGCTTCCGAGGCATCACCAAGGAATTTGAAGAGGTCATTGTGGAGCCTGTCAGCACGAGTACGGTAGATGACAAGGTCAGAGATGGCCAGGACCTTCAGCAGCAGCCGTGTTCTCTGGCTCAGGTTGACAGTGGCCCCCAGGAGGCCCTCTGTATCAATGACCACCACTTTGCGGACAGGGTCATAGGCTGCCCAGACTCCAACTGTGCAAGACTCCTGGGCAGGAGACGTCTTGAAGACTTCCCGGCCATAGAAGAAAGTGTGGTTAAGGGTGTGAGACTTGCCATCCCCTGTGTTCCCAAAGATGGACACTACCTTTAGGTGCTGGTCAGGACTGCAGTCCAGTTTCTTAATAAAGTCTTCCTCATTCCTTACCTTCCAAAACAAAAAGAGAAAAATATTACAACTATGTGATTGGAGTAGACAACACTAAAAACACAGCTGGTGTCAGAATTCATAAGATTAAAAAGAGTGATTACCTTCTCTTCAGATTTCATCATAAGTTTCTGAAGCACCAAGAAGTACAAAGCAAAATACTAGAATGCAGTTTTGTAAAATGTACACATTAATGGGATTTATGTTGCTCCATCATGTAGCTGTTTTGGAAGTGATGCCTCACTGTGATTATGTATGTAGTCAACTCTCAAGTACCTCACCCCATTCTCTGAGAAGCCCTTTCAGACAAGGGAGCATAACACTATTTCCAAGTCTGTCAGAACAGCTACCTGGAGCATGGCAGACTTTCTCAGTAGCACTGGTCTCATGGTAAGCATGCAAATTCAGAGTGAAAGAGGAGATTTCTTTTACCACTTTAACTTGCCTCATCCACAGAGGTTGAGCACCTGTTTAGGTACAAAAATCTCTGCCATGCACTTGTGCTGCATCTGTCTACAGCCAGGGGTTCTCAGACACAGATTCCCTATTCTCACTGCTCTCCAGCTGATCAATCCTTCAGCTGGAAAGTGGGAGCAGAGAAGCAGCAAAACTGTGCACTGCAGTCAGGTGCTTGAAGCAGGTCAAACTGGCTCTCACAGAAGTGCCACAACTACCTCAAGGATCCCTTTCATAATTTACTTATTGTACTTTCATTAAAAAATAAAACAAAAGAACACACACATACAAAACCAAAAAGAAGTGCAGGTAACTGCCCCTTGGCTTTACATAGTTTAAGGATCAAGCATCGTGCTGTCTAGGCTAAAGAACAGGGCATTTTCTGTTCAGATACTGGAGCAACAGGAGCAGATAAACAAGCACTGAAGTGGGCTAGGGCTCTGTAAAAGAGCCTGCCCTGATGTTGTTGCAGAATAGGTCCTTGGCTTTCACAGGTTTCATGCTTCATTCATTTGTTCAGCCCATACTTTTTTGTCTTCCAACAGGTTTTATCCATATATTATAGGACAGGAAGAATATGACACACTTTTTGAGAAAGATTAAATTCACTTTCTCCATCTCAATTTCCTTTTCAAGGAATCCCCATCAACTGAAATGAACAGGGCTTCCATCACCTCTCACCTGCCACTTAACTTCTGGAAGCTCTTAGCTATTTTCATCCTGCAAGTACAGTTGGAAGATCTCACAGTCTAGGAACCAGAGAGGCAATGAGGTCATAAATGGTTTCTTTGAACAAGCTTATTCATAAATCAGCAAATCAGTTTAAGGCTCAGCCAGCCCCATTTGCTTTGGTCAAATCTATCAACAGCACCTAGACTTTGAAGGAAAATAAAAATCAGCCAGTGTGCTAAAAACATAAAAAATAGCCAGTGTGCCAGATTGTGGTTGGGAACAGCATTCACAAAGAAAATGTGTGGGCTTGCAGTAGCTTCTCACAGATTCAAACCATTCAAAGCAGCCTCACAGTGTAGAAGACAACAGGAAATAAGAGACATCAAAATGCTCTCAAGAGAATCTTTCCTGGTGTCTGTGGGGGAACATCAAGATACACTGAAATTACAAGTGCACAAGAAAGGGTCTGCTTCCTTGGTAGCTGTAATTATTAGCTTATCATCAGGATAAGGTAGCTTAGATGATAGATGGAGTTTTGCTTACTGTCTCTTAAGATGTCTGTGGAAGAAAGGAAGTTCTTGGTTCATGGAATAGCTCCTAAAAACATTCACATATTTGACAATATAAAAATGTTATGTGTACATAAGCAAAAAGGAACATGAAAATGTCTTCTTAAAAAATGTTTTGGTTTTAACTCCCACCTCCCAAACTTCTCACCAAAAAGGTGACAGGTCCTTTTTGCCAGAGTCAATAGTTATGTGCTCCCTGGACAATGCAAAAAAATATCAGTTTTCAAACAACTGCTTTAGTATTGGCAGGATAGCTAATGGCTAAGATCTTTTAGCCAGCACTAGTTATTACTTTAGTAGTAGTTTGGGAGAATGGGCTGAGTCAGTAATCTCAGGAGACACAAGGGACAGTAGGGACAACAGGAATAAGGGTAACTCTGAGATATATTCCCACCTTTAAGAAACAGAAGTGAATTCAAAGTTACACTGAATATCAAATCACATACCCAAAGTTATTCCCTTCTAAGTTATCCCCTTCTAGGCTTTTTGCAGACCTCCATTCAGGACAGAACTCAGGTGTGATTTGAACAAACAAGTTACCCAGGGGCACAAGAATGCACCAAAGTCTAGTTAGCCCAATGTTTATGTCTCACAGGACTTGGTAATGAATGAGGAAAAATTTCAGACATGAAATAAGTAAATGTTTCCTAGCATACTTGACCAGTGCTTAGAAGTCAGATGACCAAGAACTTCTTGAACAGTGGTTGCATTTAGATGCTTTTGGTAGAGAACCAGGAGACCAATCCTCCCTTGTAGAACCTAGTCATAATTTTGGATCCTGCAACATCCTTACAATAAATTCTATGTGGGAGGAGAAGGAACAAAACCAAAACCAAGCCAAAATGACCAAAAGAAGCCCCTCCCTTTGAAGGTGAAAATGCTTGTACGCCACTGGGTGCTCCTTGCTCTTGTGCACTAGTTGACTTTAACCAACGCTGAGTACAGGAATGATAATCTCAAAGAACCATCCACAACAACCCCCATGTCAGTAGTCCAATTTACTTCCCCTGAGCAAGTTCTTTTAAGACATTTGAAGTCTGAGTGGGTGTAGTGTCAAAGCAGTAATCCCAACTTCTTTGTTTTGCTTTTGTCTCTAAAACAAATTGGTATGGTACCACCTTCTGTTGCTTGTGCAAAGGGCTCACGTTTCCATAACTGTGTCCACTTCCATGTTGCCCAAGAGCTCCAGATCTCTGAGGTTCACAGCAGAGGGTAAATATGAAACCTTCCTTACACTGCACACCAAAGTAAACTCAGGATGAAAACTGTATGTCTGAATCAAGACATGAGTCATATCTCGTCAGCCCCTTCTTGATTTTGCCATTTCTAGTACCAGAAACTCATTTACACTTTTGTTATAGCCCTTAAGAGACTCTCTTCTAAAAAGAAGATTAAATCACAATTTCATCATACATTGAAAATAAGAGAGAAAAAAAATATAAAAATCTATAAAGCAGATTTCTTCCTTTAACTACACCCAGTAAGACTAACCTGAGAATAAGTTCCATCACAGTAAAGTGCCACCACCAAAATTCACATCTCTGCAAGGCACATCACAATCACTCCTGAAAAGGCAGTGCACAAATGCAAAGAAGTGAAACTGGCTAACCCAGCAACTCAAGTGCAACAGGCTATTAAAAATGCAACTGGAAATTCCATACTTTTGCCCCAGAAGAAGTTTTTGTTGATATCCACAAGTGTCTCTTGTTATCAAGTGACAAAAAAGATGGTTCCCTGTGAGGAAGAGAAACTTTCTGCTATGAAACCCAAAACATCAACAGAGCTGTGAGACAGTCCTTAAACCACAGTAATTCAAATCCTGATTCCTCTATGATCTTAGGCTAATTCAGGTTGAAAGTGAACTCAGGAGGTCATTATTTCCTCTGACTTTCAGTCTTCCAAACAAGAGATTTTGATCATAAACAGGTGCTCAAGAACAATCAAAGCTGACTTTTAAGTCCAAGCATCTCTAGTTTTCTACCTTAGGTTGCCTCCTATACCTTTTCTTCTGCATGACTTTCCATAGAAAATATAATGTATGCCATTACTCAAGTCTTCCACATATAACTTAAAATTCATAACCTAATTACACTATTTTGATACAGAAATAAGTGCCTCTAAAAGACAAAAATCCTAGAAGTTTGATGAAAAGGGATGACAGAGTAGAAAAGAAAGACTCCAATAACCTTACTGAGGAAAGAGCATGTCTCATGTCCCCCCCCTGCTGCCTCCAAGACACAGCAGTAGGCTGAGCAGTCGTGTCCACACGTGCCAGCCAGTCAGCATGCTGGCTGCTCCATGACAGCACACATACTGCTTCTTACTCAAAAGACAGAAAATGTGGACAAGCACTGGATAATGGGAAGAAGACATCCCAGAAATTAGACTTCATTAATTATACTGGTCAAAGAGATACTTTTTACTATGTAAATGTTTTATAGTAGCCTGAGAAAGTTTCTGCAAAGGGCTGTGTCAACAGATTAGTTTATAGAATTGTGTATGTCATACCAGTAGATCCAATTGTTATTCAAGAGTAAGTTATTAATCACTCATCACTTATTAATCACTGATCCAGTGAACACTTAAGCACTTAATCACTAGTGTCCTCAGTGATCTCCTAGCCTTCAGCCAAGCTGACAGTGGACATCCTCTGGAGTCCTACAGAGCCTCAAGCCCAAAATACCAGATGCAGGGAGGACAAAATAAAGCAGGGGACAGACACGCTACAGGGATCTAAGGTTAGATTCTCACACTTTGGTCTTATTCCCTGTGTGGGTGCAGGACTGGCTCAAGCAGATGAAAGCATTTGTATTAAGGGTGTTTCCTAACCTAAGAGTTTTTCCCTGTTTATTTGTCTTCACTGCAGTACCACCTATGGGTTCTGTGAGAATTGTTATCAGCCACAGTACATACCCATGGACAATATACACACCCTGAACTGGATATATTTTTCAGACCAAAATTATCCTGTTCCCACAGCGCTGGCATAGGAATTCAGGTTCAATATCTTCAGGGGTTTGTATGGAGTTTAACAGCATAAGTTTCAACAGGACTTAGAGGTAGGTCCCTGCAATGAAGGGCAGAGGCTGCCCATGTCTGAGGCCCATGTCTATTATTATAGAACTCTGAGAGAGGCATAGACAGAAGAGTTAAGTCCTGCTTAACAACCCTACCCTTTTCCCTCATAAAAGAGATCATATTTTAAAGGTTTTAAGACAGTGGTGGAAAAAATTAAGGGGATTGGAGGTAACCCAATTTGACAGGACTCCTCCCTAACCCAAGAGGCAATATTGACTGAAATAT